GTCGTTTCCGCACACAGTGTACCAGCTGCACCCGCTTCAGTACCTCCTCGGCACCAATCCGTTCGTACCAAAGGGTGAATCGATCGAGCGCATCCGCAACATCATTGGCGTCTGCGTCGTCTGCAAGCGCGAGCTGCCATCGTACTTGACGACCATCATGTACTTTCAAGACCAGCAAATTCAATGCGCGCACTGCAGAAACGACCTAGAACCGTGGTCCAACTACAAGACGCGGTACGAAGGTTCCACCGCGTTCGATATTCCGCTGCGCGACGTCTTGAGCCAGTGCCCGCACCGGTCGTGCCGGCGTTCTCTGACCAAGGACGAGATGTTCAAACTCCACCTTCTCGACGAGCCAATCGCATGCGGCGGCTGCAACAAGACGCTGCGCTACGAGACGTTTGAGATCGCCACCTTCATCCACGAATACCCGACGATGACGTACCGGTCCGAGGTGTGCGAAGGCGGCAAGGTCGAGAAGCGCCTTCACATGCCCAAGGAGATCCCGTCCGATGGCCGCTGGGAGAGCTACACGAACGAGCTGCGACGAACAATCGCGCAGTTTGCCAAGACGCAGCACACCGAGGGCGTCTACCGCTTCCGCGAGGTCGTCTATGCCCATCGCGTTGGCATCTCGTCGCAGCCGCCCGGTGCGTTCTCGATGGACCTGGTCCGTGGCATGTACCGCCAGCTCAGCTTTGTGATCAAAGTCTGCGCCAACTTTGACTACTGGATGAACCCGACGATTCTCCGCGCGTCGATCCGCCGCTACGAGCAGTTTGTGCAGGTGATCAGCAAAGGCGCGATCAAGAAAGGCCTTGGTATCGTGCCCACCGTCGACATTGACCTCGCTTGGCACACGCACCAGACCCACCCACTGGCTTACCAAAAGTACACGACCAAGGTCGCCAAGCGCGTGCTCGACCACGACGACAGCGTCGGCGGCAGCGATCTGCACGCGGGCTACCTCCACACGTGCGTCGCGTGGTCCAAGCTCTACAAGCAGCCGTACTCGTCGTACGTGCCGCCCAGTACGACGCTCGATGCGATGGTCAAGGCTGGCGCCAAGGTGGCCCAAGGCGCGTCTCGCTTTGTGGGTGTCGATGATCTGGAAGAGGGCGACGACGGCCTTCTCTCGGTGCTGGGCACGCCGGTGTTCGAGTC